CTCTGCCACTGACTCCATTTGCTCTGCAGCACTGATGTTTTATCCACAAATAACACAAGCCTGGAGGAGTTCTGCCATGTGGTGGGGTTACTAATTTACTTAACATTTATTTAGCCAGGTAGAAAATCCCACCGAGATTAAAAACCTTGTTTTCAAGGGAGGCCTGGTCAAGATGGGCAGCAGCAAGCATCACACAAAGTAACAGAAAAAAATGTTACAGTCAAAACACAAAAACCACACAAATTACAGTAAATGCTAACGGTTAGCTTCTGCTAGCCGAGATGTTCTCTGCACGTTAAACCAACAACAGCCTTCCCCGTCGTGAACCAAGATGGGTGAGTCCATGAACGTTAGGTGACAGCGTGACGTAGATCTGTTAGTGAACCACACCTTTAAGAACTGTTTCCACCCGGACGGATTTAAATGTGACACACTGAGAGCCTGATCACTCTGGTGATTCTGTGCATTTATGAAAAAGCCAAAGATGTGTTCATAGCTGATAATTTTGTTCTAATCTTTTACTGAGGTTGTGGGTTTGAACCAGATCTCTAAGACATGATTAGCATTAGCATCTGTTAGCATAAGACAGCTAATGTAATGTCTGCTGATAGGTCGTTGCAAATAGCAGGACGTAGCTTGCTGTCATTTATGCTTCTAAATTATTCAATCTGAAGCGTGTAGATCAGGGGTCCTCAACTATGATGGTCCGAGGGCCACACACAAAAAAGACCCAGAAGCAAGAAAGCCGGGGGGGTTTGGATCACTGGCTGTAATGCACATAAAACGCATACTATGGAACTAGGATTGGGACAATATTCAGCGTAACTTGTACCAAGTTTTGTAACTGCAAACATGTTTCATCACATGTAACTTTGGATTCTTAACTTGTAACTTTGGATCCGTAACTTGTAATTCTCAATTCGTACTTGTATTCTTGTTTTGTAACAGGAACATTGTATTTTGTACATGTATTTTTTATTTTGTAAAAGTATGGAACTAGGATTGGGACAATATTCCATGAAACGCAAGCTTGCAATATAAAGCAGGACAACACCTGGCTGTCCCCGTCCAGCTCGGCTGTGTGCACTAACCTGTCCTGTGTGACCCTCATGCCCACGCTGTCTCTGGAGGAGCAGACAGGAGAAAAGACCTCCTGTAACCTAAAATGAACCAAAGCTTCCTCCCAGTTTCTCTTTAAGCTGAATTTAACATCAGTTTATCTTCATGAAACAAAAGAATAAAGTGGAACAAGAACTTCTATCTTCTATTTCTCTCTCCTTTTAACTTCTCCGTGTCCCTAAATAAGAGACAGGTTACGCTGCAGTCGCCGTCACTCACCCCGCCCCCTCCCCAAGACCGGATCTCCCGACATCACAGCACTCGGTCTGACTGAGCGCTTCCAGGAGAAACAATAATGAAATGATGAAAATAATAAAGCGTGTTTGGAGGAACGTCCTCCGATCCTCTCTCGTGTGAGCAGACAATCTCTCTCTCTGTCGCTGATCGAGCGAGCGGAGCGCGCCGCGCGACATCCCTCTCAATTAACATAATTTGCGACCCAAATCCAACAGAACCGGTCGGGCTGATTCGGTTCAGGTTCGGTCTCAGGTTATAACTCCAGCGCTCAGCCCTGCAGAACCACATAAAGGCAGATTTAAGTTTCTTACCCGGTAAATGTGGAGAACACCGCTCGGACAGATGTGGACGCTGCGCTGGTGCCGCCGTTAAAATAACAAAACTACATTCCACTATAACTGATTATGGTTCTCTTCTATGATGCAGAACCGTTTATGCCCGCATCTCATGCATTGATTATTTGATTATTTTCCTCAGCTTTATCCTAAACCTCCCGGTCGGCCGTCGGGGGGTGGGGGGTGCGCGCGGGGTTTGGGGACCACAAAGAGAGGGCTCGCGGACCGGACGTGGCCCACAGGCCACCATTTGCGGACCACTGGTGAAGATATTTCATCATTTATGTTAATTGGATGTTATTAATAGGAAACATTTATTCAAAATGACTGTTTTAAAATCTGTAATAAACATAATTTTATGGTATTTTTGCCACATTGCCCCTATGAGCCCAGCCGTCTTTTATTATAAACAAAAACCATAAAGTACACACATGAAACCATCCCTGGTTTTCATTGGCTGCCATTGAAACAATGAAGAATTGTTGCTCAGATCCACTCACAAAGGTTTGGACCCGCGTCGCCTCGGCCGCGGCAGCAGCGGCTCGTTACAGCCACTCAGGAGAAGTCAGACTGGATGTGGTGGAACGTGTTGTTCAGCGGCGAGTCCTTTTCATCTCAGCGATGGGCTTCGTTCAGCTTCCACATCCCGCCGAAGGGTGGAGGAGGAGGTGGAGGGCCACTGCTCAGCCTGTATTTAGTGCTTTTTACTTGGCTAGAGGTCACATGTGAGACGGCTCCTCCAACACCTGCCACTTATCGCGTCATACCCGTGTCAAAACCCGTGCACGCGCATTGGGTCCACAGCGCGCGTGTGAACGGGACTCGCGAGCGAAAATATACATGGCAGCGCGCGTGTGAACGGGACTCGCGAGCGGAAATATACATGGCGAGAGGTCATTTGTGCACTGAGAGGGAGCAAACTGTGTCTGTGAGCGCACAAGGATGTGCACAAGTGACAAACCTGCGTGCGCGCGTTGTCAACGAGCACACGGCAGAGGAAAACGTGCGCGCGCGGCAGCCTCTGTGCGCGCTCGGCAGCCTCTCTGCGCGCTCGGTTTCTGACTCCTGCTCGCTCGGCTGTAAGGGTTTTGGCACTCTGGAGGCGTGGCCTGTGGCAGATCCTCCTCTGTCCTCTGATTGGTTAGTGTACCCCGCACTTTACCCTCTACCTATCTATATAAAAAAGTCTGCTAGTCAAGTAGTCGCTGGCATAGCTCAGTTGGAAGAGCGGGTGACTCTCGCCCCGGAGGATCCAGGTTCGAGGCCGGGGCAAGGAAAATGCAGTAGATGTCATGTTAATTTTTCTTAATTTCAGGTATTTTACAGTTGTGACCGTTCAACTGTCATTAAACGTCCGAATGTTTGCTGGGCAGTGTTTTAAAAAGTGCACATAAGCT